TACTTTACAACCAATATTGATGTGTAAGGGAGTTCACACCATTGTCATTTGTATTTCTGGGTCTTGAGGTAGGTTGAATCCTAATTTTCAGAGAAACTGCCATACTGCTTTCCAGAGTGGTTGTACAATTTGCATTTTCACCAGTAACAGAAGAGTCTTCCCCTTACTCCCACATCCTCTCCAGCATAAGCAGTCATTGGTGTTTTTGATCTTAGCCATTCTGACAGGTGTAAGGTGGTATTGCAGAGTCATTTTGATTTGCATTTCCCTGATGACTAAGGATGTTGAACATTTCCTTAAGTGTCTTTTGGCCATTTGAGATTATTCTATAGAAAATTCTCTGTTTAGTTCTGTACCCCATTTTTAATTGAATTATTTGAAATTTCGATGTTTAATTTCTTGAGTTCTTTATATATTTTGGAGATCAGTCCTCTATCTTATATGGGATTGGAAATTTTTTTCCAATTCAATAAGCTGCCTTATTGTGTTATTGACTGTGTCCTGTGCTGTGCAGAAGCTTCTCAGTTTCAGAAGGTCCCATTTATTAATTGTTCCTCTCAGATTCTGTGTTACAGGTGTTATATTTAGGAAGTGGTCTTTAGTTCCATACTTGGAAGGCTACTTTTCAGTTTCTCTCCTATCAGTGTCAGTGTGATTAGATTTATATTAAGGTCTTTATCCCCTTTGGACTTGAATATTGTGCATGGTGATAGATATGGATCTATTTGTACTCCTTTACATGTTGATATCCAGTAACGCCATAACCTTTTGTTGCAGATGCTTTCTTTCTTTTTTTTAAGATTTATTTATTTATTATGTATACAACATTCTGCCTCGATGTATGCCTGCACACCAGAGGAGGGTGCCAGATCTCAGTACAGATGGTTGTGAGCCACCATGTGGTTGCTGGGAATTGAACTCAGGACCTCCGGAAGAGCAGTCAGTGCTCTTAACCTCTGAGCCATCTCTCCAGCCCCTGCTTTCTTTTTTCATTGTATAATTTTAGCTTATTTGTCAAAAATCAGGTGTTCATAGGTGTGAGGATTAATATCTGGGTCTTTGATTCAATTCCGTCATTCAACCTGTCTATGTTTTTGCCCATCATCTCTTCCTCAAACCTCCAAAATGAACTGTTTGCTTAATTAAAACATATGTTCCCAACAGTCTCAATCATCTGACTGTACCATATTGATATTGTCCTGAGCAGTTTGTAGTCCAAACCTGATGTTTAGATGGTGAAACAATTACATAGTGCAGTTGAAATCTTCCTTGCATGACTCACACTTCTTTTGGAGACTTCACAGGTCACTGTAATGCATGCTCATATTTCATTGCAAAAAAACTTAAGCATTTTAATTGTCATATGCAGCCGATCTGTAAGAGGTAAAAAATGAGTGTTTTTTACGTATGCCTAGATATCAGATAGAGACTCAAACCCAAAATTAAATATAGGAAGCTAGATGGAACCTTTCCCTAGAATTAGTTACTTCTCTATATGATCATTAATATTATGGCTAAAGGAATATTTGTTGTTAATTTCTCCCAAGAAATTACTGTAAGCTCTTTGCCAATGTTCACTTCCTCTCTGTAATGATTCAATTTCTACATTAGTAAAACATGCTACAATTTAACCTTGGTAAATTCTTGCTAATAGATGAAGTTTCAGTTTTCTTTTTAAAAACAACTCAGAGACGGGCGGTGGTGGCGCACGCCTTTAAGCCCAGCACTTGGGAGTCAGAGGCAGGCGGATCTCTGTGAGTTTGAGACTAGCCTGGTCTACAAGAGCTAGTTCCAGGACAGGCTCCAAAACCACAGAGAAACCCTGTCTCGCAAAACCAAAAAAAAAAAAAAAACCCAAAACAACTCAGATTTTTTTTCCACATAACATTTTATTTTTTTACTATGTTTATATGTTTAAAATATCGATTATAAGATAATATTTTTCCTCTGCAGTAAAATTCCTATAGGGAATGCATAGAGCATAAAATGTCTAGAATGAAGGCCAGGAGGTGGTGGCTCAAGCCTTTAATCCCAGCAGAGGCAGAGGCAGGTGGAGTTCAAGGCCAGCCTGGTCTAGAAGAGGTAGTTCCAGGACACATTCCAAAGCTACAGAGAAACCTGTATCAAAAAAAGTCTTGAATGTAACAAAACTTCACATCCAGACAATCCATAAGTGCCTCCTATAATTTTATTTCCACTAAACTATTTATTCTCTGCTTTAGATGATAATTCTCTTTGACTATTTAACTCCTTGTCACATTTTATGGTTTGGTTCTAATTACTGTTTTCAATTTTTTACTCCAATATTGGGATATAGATGATCAATGTCTTGCAACAATTTCTGAAAACTATTAAGGTTCCACAAATAATCTCTCCTAATTTTTAACTTTTGGGCTCAAATTTTTGTGAAAGTATTTTATATGATGAATGATTAATATAATCACCTTTTTGTATATTTTCACAAGTAATTTGTAATGTCCAAGAAGACAAAGTTTGCTTTACTTCACCAAACATTTTCTCTAAAGTATGTTCATTTGAATCAGCTAATGAAATTCAAAATAATGTTGAAAACATACCTAACTCGAGTATAATTTCAATTGTAATAAATAACAAAGTACTAACATGCAGTACTTTATATCCTAGTTGGTTTATAATAATAACTCTCAAGGACTAGAAATTTTCATGACACGTTTAAGTGAGTTGAATTAGGTAAAATAGTTTAAGAATATAAAAATCATAGACAGGATGTTTTAATAAAAATGTCAAGTTTAGGGGCTGGAGAGATGGCTCAGAGGTTAACACCAGCTGTTCTTCTAGATAATCCTGAGTTCAATTCCCAGCAACCACATGGTGGCTCACAGCCATCTACAGTGAGATCTGGTGCCAACATTGTATACACAATAAATAAGTAAATCTTTAAAAAAAAATGTCAAGTTTATATCAAAAAGGAGCATCAATATCTACATCAATGTAAATATATATATAAATAAGTAGTTACTTTTTAAAATTAATTTTAGTGATCTACACTTTTAGATTATACACATATATGCCCCTTTATTCTTTTTAGATTCCCGTAATCTACACTTTTATCATTTCATTGGGTGCCTTTTGTAAGTGGATGTGTATTTATGAATATATAGAGCTGGTTTTGGAGATGGACACTAGCTCTGTCTCTGTATAAATCCAAGCATGTCATTAAAATAAAAATTCAGAGTTTCTCTCTCATGTCAGGAGCATGGGACAGAAAGAAAAAGGAATTTAGAAAAATTTTCACTTTTCTACATTTCTATTTTTGTCTCTATTGTACATGTCACTGAATATATATGTCTGTATATGACTATATAAATAATGTTTAAGTTTTCCACAATGAACAATGAATTTTACTGCAGTAATTTTGAAGTTTCCAGGAAGAAGTTGGGGCCCCACAACAACAACTCAACCTGGTTGATATGATGGCATGATGATGATAGTGTTACTACCAGACCTGCTTTGCATACCAGCTGCTCAAGATGGTTCCAACTTGGTTAGCTGAAATGGTCCACTTTTTACAAAGTTCTAGACAGACCTTATAAGAGGAATCTCAGAAAACTTTTACAAAATACTCAGAGACTATTTGCAATTATACCAGACAGTAATCTTGGAATGTAACCATCATTTTACTTTCACAGGATCCCATAGAAAGAACATCACCCCCATGATAGCTGGAAGTAATTCTAAAAGACTTCCAACAAAGTTTGTCCTAGGGTTAGGGAAATCATTTAGGGGTTGATTATAATTGGTATAGGGTTGTGGGTTAGAAGGGAAATTTTATGGGCTCAGGGATTTCTTTGAAAAAAAGGGAAAATTGGATGGAATAATAGATTAGTGTGAGTTTACATACATTAATAATAATAGTGAGTAATAGAGTGAATGCTTGTGAGTTATAATTTATAGGCAATTGCTTTGATATAGATTTTTGTATGTTGATATAATGTTAAATATTGAATATTGTATGCATCCATGCTTCTACTTCTGCTTAAAACATTTTATATATTGATAAATATATTTATCAAATTGCAATGTACATTTCTTCCACTGATCAAGATATTTATTCATTGGTTACATTTTGAGCCCATTGTCCTCATTTGTTACAGTTGTTTATTGTACAATATTCTAATATGAAGTCTTAGTCTTTAAGTTATATAGGTATTAGAATTATAGATCAATAGTCATCTATGTTTGTCATACTTATAGTTAGAATAATCAGGTTTTTTAGACACATAAAGAATATATTTTGCATAGATAGGTAATCTTTAACCACTTCAAAAAGCTGTAAAATATGGAATTTAAATAACCTAGGGTACTGTTGAAGTGAGACACGATTACTACTGGTAGCATTGATCTATTTTCCAGAGAATGTTGAGCACCGAAGACACTCAAATCTTGTTTTCTTGTTTTCAAAACTGGCCTTTGGGCAAAGACATGTTCATGCCTCAACCTCTGACAAGATACATGGTATCCAAAAATGGATAAGCAGTTCTGTTAAATCTTGACTGGCATTCATCTCACAGACAAATATATACACCTGTGTTTTCTGAGTGTTGTGCTAAAGGAAAAAAACACCAATATGCCCAGTTTGTCCATCTTTTTTTTCCTTTCTGTAGGCATTAATTTTCTCATGCATACAACATACTGTTGATCTTTTCTCTTTTTCTTTCCCCGTGAATAGATAGTGCTCTTATAAGGAGGTATCCTATACAAAGGACACAGAAATAACAGAATTGATTCTCCTTTTCAATTTCCTTCTAAAGTGACTGTCTATGTCATGGAACAAGAATGGGGAACACCAGAATCATAAAACTATACTTTCAAAGAAGTATGCATTTTACTGTCATACTTACACTGTACTCATATATGGTATATTTTTGAAGGAAGTGACCTATGATGATGTGCACATCAACTTCACTAAGGAAGAGTGGGATTTACTGAATCCTTCCCAGAAGAATCTCTACAAAGATGTGATGCTGGAGACCTACAGGAACCTAACTACTATAGGTGAAAATGAATTTCTTTCATGTTTCAAAATATGGAGACAACTTTTCTTTGGTTAATGATTTTGTTCTGTAATTTTTTTAGAGAAAGAAGAATGAGGTAAATAACACAGTCCCAGTTCTTAGGTGCACTTAAGATAATAAGCTAATTGTTGCACATTCTTAAATAATATAACATATATTCTGGTACTGTATTTCAGGATACATTTGGGAAGACCTTAACACCGAAGAGCATTGTCAATGTTCTAGAAGACATGCAAGGTAATTTTCTTGGGCAAGTTCATAACAATTTCCCTTGAATAGTTTGTAATGTGTTCTGGAACTTTAAAACAAAAGCAACAGTGTAAATAACCACAGCTTTAAATATATTGATGGTTATTAAGTTCTCACAGATCCATATCCCTCAATTTAATGTATGTGAATTGCATCTGTAAAGCCTTCATTTAAGAAAAAGTCTAGGTAGCAATACCTGAACAGATATCACCATTTGATTTATAGCACCATGAGAGCTATGTTGTAGAACTGCTGCTTCATTTGCTTCTTGCTATTCATGACAGAAAATGTATACATATTTCAGTGATGATGAGTATAGCTGCAAAACTTTCTACTAATCCAAGAGCCCATGGTAAGCCTTGTATCACTCATATACTTTTTGTGACTGTGCTAAGTTTAGTGAAAGCAGACTAGTCAAGGGTCAAGGGGCAGTTGTTGTGGAGAAACCTTAATATCTATACAACAAGTCTGTGAAAGTCGAATCTTATAGATTCATTTAGAAATCTTTTATACACTATTCTTTTTTTCATATATATGATATGTCACTCTTGACACAAGTATATGAGGATAGGAATACAAAAAGATTTACCATACCTCTCCTTAAGAACAATTAAGAAGATAAACTGTAGTTCCTATGTAGAGTGTACATGTTTAATTTGATCCAAAAATACAAAGTTAATTTATTTTCTATCATCATGGTTAATACCCAAATACAATCTCACATTACAACAAAAACAAACAAACAAACATGAGTTCTAGGTCTATGCAAATAATTCTGGGTGTCTTAGTTCACTTACCAAATGTGGTTCACAATATTATGAATGGAGTAAAGTTGGTAAAGCACTCAGTATATTCAGTTCTCTTCAAAAATGTAAAAAATATCCTAGAAAAGTAAAGTATGATATAGTTATAGATGAAAAGATAAACTGGCACAATGGAATTTCTCATCACAAATATTTTTCTAGATGTAAATGATACCTAATGAGAGAACAAAACATTATTTTAAACAAAGCTATAAAACCTTGATAGTTGATTCCTTTTTACAATTTGAAAAAATATGAAATTAATTTATATAGGTATGAGGTTCAACTTCATTGAATGTGGTAAAGCTTTTACATGTGTAAATTTTCCTTGCAGGATCGAAAGAACTCAAACTGGAGAGAAGTTTTCAGTATATTCTCACTGGGGTGAAGTCTTGTCTTATAACACTCATCTTCTAAGGAATGAAAAAACACATAGCAGAGAAAAATGCTGTGAAATTAAGCAATGTGATGAAGTCTTTTCTTATCACAATCATTTTGAAATGCATAAAAGAACACACACTGGAGAGAATCTCTATGAGTATGGTCAAGATGATGAAGACTTTCTTCTTTATGAAAATCATCAAAGTCATAAACGAACACATACTGGAGAGAAATCATATGAATGTAATCTGCATGGTAAGGTCTTTCCTGATCAGAGTCATCTTCAAAAGATTAAAAGAATATATACTAGAGAGACATCCTATGAGTATAATAAGGGTGGCAAAGCCATTGCACAATGTACTGTTTTTCAAACATATAAGAGAATACAAGCTGGAGAAAAACCCTATGAATGTAATCAGTGTGGTAAGGCCTTTGCACGTCATCATCACCTTCAATTGCATAAAAGAACACATACCGGAGAGAAACCCTATGAATGTAATCAGTGTGGTAAGGCCTTTGCACACCACAGTAATCTTCAAAGCCATAAAAGAACACATACTGGAGAGAAACCCTATGAATGTACTCAGTGTGGTAAGGCCTTTGCACGCTACAGTGCTCTTCAAGAACATCGAAGAACACATACTGGAGAGAAACCCTATGAATGTAATCAGTGTGATAAGGCCTTTGCATGTCACAGTGATCTTCAAAGGCATAGAAGAACACATACTGGAGAGAAACCCTATGAATGTAATCAGTGTGGTAAGGCCTTTGCACGACTTAATCATCTTCAATTGCATAGAAGAACACATACTGGAGAGAAACCCTATGATTGTAATCAGTGTGGTAAGGCCTTTGCACAACACAGTAATCTTCAAAGCCATAAAAGAATACATACTGGAGAGAAACCCTATGCATGTAATCAGTGTGGTAAGGCCTTTGCACACCCCAGTCTTCTTCAATTGCATAACAGAACACATACTGGAGAGAAACCCTATGAATGTAATCAGTGTGGTAAGGCCTTTGCAACTCAGAGTAATCTTCAAAATCATAAAAGAACACATACTGGAGAGAAACCCTATGTATGTAATGAGTGTGGTAAGGCCTTTGCACAGAACTTTGCTCTTCAATACCATAAAAGAACACATACTGGAGAGAAACCCTATGAATGTAATCAGTGTGGTAAGGCCTTTGCAACTCAGAGTAATCTTCAAGATCATAAAAGAAGACATACTGGAGAGAAACCATATGTATGTCATGAGTGTGGTAAGGCTTTTGCACAGAACTTTGCTCTTCAATACCATAAAAGAAGACATACTGGAGAGAAACCCTATGTATGTAATGAGTGTGGTAAGGCCTTTGCACAGAACTTTACTCTTCAATACCATAAAAGGACACATACTGGAGAGAAACCCTATGAATGTAATCAGTGTGGTAAGGCCTTTGCACGCCACAGCTATCTTCAAAGCCATAAAAAAACACATACTAGAGAGAAACCCTATTAATGTAATCAGTGTGGTAAGCCTTTTGCATGACATAATCATCTTTTGCATAAAAGAACACATACTGGAGAGAAACCCTATGAATGTAACAGTGTGGTAAGGCCTTTGCACAACATGGATGCTTTTCAAATGCATAGAAGAACACATACTGGAAAGAAACCCTAGAAATGATATCTGTGTGATAAGGCATTTGCAGACCTCTGTACTCTTCAAAGGCTTAAAATGTAACATACTCTAGAGATACCTGTGAATGGAATGTGGTAAATTCTTTTTCACAATTATCTCCAAATACATAATATGAGCCCTTCTGTAGAGAAAACCCGAATTAATTTGTGTATTTTTCAAAACCATGAAAAAAAATTATACTGTAGTGAAACTGTATAAATGAATTCAGTGTCATATTGTTTTGTGCTTCACAGAAGAATACGACTTTGTGTGTAGTCATCTGAGAAAGCTTGTGCATATTATCATAATCTTTTGGACCTCAGGAAAAAACTGGGGCCTTATTTTAAATTGTGCTTTCATATGTTAAGCCACTTATAGTCAGTTAACTAAATCAGTTACTGTGTAGAAAAAAGTTTGATAATGTCAACAATTTGTTTATCCATCATTATACCTCTCTTTATTTTAGTTTGAACCAGCAAAGTAATGGATAAAACCTTATTGGTTACAGGAAGGGTATTCCAACTGTGGTTTTCAAACCAGAGCCAAAGGAAAGAACTTTGTCTCTGAATCTAGAACTAGATAACGAAACAACGTCTCCCTGAAAACAGCCAAAACATTAAAAAGGCCCAGTGAAAGACACAATTTGGCTCTCAAACCAGAACCATAAAATCCTAAAAAGATTCAACAATGTTTTTAAGCTCAAAAAATACCATTAACTGAAATATGAGAGGCATGAAAAGTCAAATCACTCATACGCTTACTTGTATGTTTTGTATAAAAGTATCCTTAGGTGGCGCACGCCTTTAATCCCAGCACTCGGGAGGCAGAGACAGGTGGATCTCTGTGAGTTCGAGACCAGCCTGGTCTACAAGAGCTAGTTCCAGGACAGGCTCCAAAACCACAGAGAAACCTTGTCTCGAAAAAAAAAAACAAAACAAAAAAAAGTATCCTTAGAAGTTGGGAATATAATTATAGTTATCAGAAGATTGGGAGTGGTCATCAGGAAGGTAGATAGAAGGTGGTTACAAGGAATATTTTCTGAAAAGGAAAGATGGTTTGAAGTAAGAAATGATGGAAACATCACTCTTAACAGTAGCCACAAATAATATAAAATATTATGGAATTACCAACTAAAGAAGTGAAAGGACTGTAGGAAAAGAATATTAAATCTTTGAAGAAGACAGCAGAGAATGGGAAGATGTCCGTTGCCCTTGTTAGGTAGAAATCAACATAGCAATCTACAGGCTCACTACCATTCCCATGTAAATATCAGAAAAATTCTTCACAGATCTCAAAATAAAAACACCAACTTCATATAGAAAACCAAAAACATGCAAAATAGTCAAAACAATTATATATAAAAAATAATTTCATTCCCTGACTTCTTCAGATGAATACAGAGCTGCAGTACTGATGAGAGCCTGGTGTTGGCACAAAAACAGATAGGAGGACCAATGGAATTGATGCTGGCTAAGACCCAGACATCACTCCACTCACCTACTACACCTGTTTTTTGACAAAGCACCAAAAAATATAAAATGGATAAAACATATTTAACTAATGGTGCTGGCATAACTGAATATCAATGTGGGGAAGAATGAAAGTAGATCCACATCTATCATCATGAACAAAATCAAGTCCCAATGGATCAAAGACTACAACATAAAGACAAACACACTGAACTACATAAAACAGAATATTGGAAGTACACTTGAACACATTGGTAAAGAGGACCACTTTCAAATTATAACCCCAGGCATCACAGACACTGAGAAAACTTATAAATGAGATCTCCTGAAGCAAAAATTTCTGTAAAACAAAGGACATGATCAACAATACAAAAAAGGCAGCCTGTAGTATAGGGAAAGATATTCACCTACCCCACATTGGACAGAAGACTGATCTTCAAAACATACAAAGAACTTAAGTATTAATATAGTATAGGGTCATTTCAGGTTCCCTATACTCAGCTGCCCAAGGAACTAACTGGGGAAATTGCCTTGGGCTCCTGGGAGCCACTCTAGGTTCAAGTCTCTTGCCAACCCTACAGTGGCTCCCTTAACTAAGAATTGTGGTTCTGTGCTCCCCTGTCCAACCTTCCTTGATCCCAATCCTGCTGTTTCCCCAAGGCCCCCCCTCCTTCCCTTCTAACTTGCATATCTTGCATATCACCATAGAACCTTCATCTGGTGATGGATGGAAATAGAGACAGAGACCCACACTGGAGCACTGGACTGAGCTCCCAAGGTCCCAATGAGGAGCAGAAGGAGGGAGAACATGAGCAAAGAAGTCGGGACCACGAGGGGTGCACCCACCCACTGAGACAGTGGAGCTGATCTATTGGGAGCTCACCCAATAGATGGACTGTGACTGAAAAAGCATGGGATAAAACTGGACTCTCTGAGCATGGCGAACAATGAGGGCTGATGAGACGCAAAGGACAATGGCACGGGGTTTTGATCCTGCTTAATGTGCTGGCTTTGTGGGAGCATAGCCAGTTTGGATGTTCACCTTCCTAGATATGGACGGAGCAGGGAGGACCTAGGACTTACCACAGGGCAGAAAACCCTGACTGCTCTTTGGACTGGAGAGGGAGGGGGAAAGGAGTGGGGGGAGGAGGGGAAGAATGGTGGGAGGAGGGGGAGGGAAATGGGAGGCTGGGAGGAGGTGAAAACTTGTTTTTTTTCTCCTTTTCTCAATAAAAAAATAAAAAAAAATAAAAAAAAAGAACTTAAGTAATTGGGCATCTTTTGAACAAATAATCTAAGAAAAAATGGAATACAGACCTAAATGAAAAACTTTTAACATATGAATTTAAAATGACTGAGAGACACTTAAGGAAATTTCCAAACTCTAGTCATTAGAGAAATGAAAATTAAAACAAATCTGAGATACACTCTTATATCTGTAATAATAGGCAAGATCAAAACACTGATGACAACTTAAGCTGGAAAGGATGTAGAGTTAAGGGAACACTCCTCCATTGCTGATGGGATTACAAACTGAGCCAGCTACTTGGAATATCAGTATGGTTATTTCGTAGAAAGTTAGAAAGCCACCTTCCTGGTTGTTAGGCATGCCTTTAATCTCTGTGCTTGGGAGGCAGAGAGAGATCTCTGTGACTTCAAGACCAACCTGGTCTATAAGAGGTAGTTCCAGGACAGGCTCCAAAGCTAAAGAGAAACCATGTCTTGGAGAACCAAAAATTAAAAAAAAAATAATGAAAGAAAATTAGGAAACAACTTATCTTAAAACCCAGCCATGCCCTTTGAATATGTACTCAATGGATGCTCAATCATACCACAAGGACAAATGCTCAACTGTGTTCACAGCAACATTGTCAGAGCCAGAACCTGAAAACAACCCCTCCACTGAAGAATGGACAAAGAAATTGTGGTATATTTACACAATGGAGTACTACACAGTGGATAAAAATAATTACATCTTGAAATTTATTTGCAATTTTATGGATCTAAAAAACATCCTAAAAGAGTGAGTTAACCCAGAACCAGAAAGAAAAATATATGTACTCACTCCTAAGTGGCTTTTTGATATAAAACAGAGGACAGTCAGCCTACAATTCACAATGCCCAGAACATATACAACAAAAAGGAAACAAACACATACATACATAAATCTATTCTATATAGGACATAGAGAAAGACAAGATCTTACTAAACTTGGAACACTGAGTTCATGTTTTAATGATGAATTTTGAAGGCTGTACAAGTCAGAGTGAGAAACCCTGAACTATGTGAGTACTAAATAAATCTTTGAATTTTGAAAACACCAACTTAGAGTGTAAAAATACCTTGGGCTTTTATAAGTCATATGAGCATCTACAGAGCAATGGATCTTATATATAATATAGCTAGCATCCAGAATCAAGAGCTGGATTCAAGAAAGCAACCACACACTTTACAGATTCATTTATACTGTTTGAGACCATGCCCAAGTGGATTGATATCTTAAAGCTATTGAGTGGAGGAGCTCTCACAGCACCTACCCATTTAACTTAATAAGAAATTCCAAACCCTATAAAAAACTATGTACACAAGAAACAGATGTCAAGTTAGAATTACAATAGGCAGACGGGCAGTGGTGGCGCCTTTAATCCCAGCACTTGGGAGGCAGAGACAGGCGGATCTCTGTGAGTTCGAGACCAGCCTGGTCTATAAGGGCTTGTTCCAGGACAGGCTCCAAAACCACAGAGAAACCCTGTCTCAAAAAACCAAAGCAAAAAACCAGAATTACAATAAGCATAATCAATATTAAGGAAGGAATACATCTTAATGGTTTGGTAAGCATTCTATCCTAAGGAGTCCATGTTGTTGTAGAAATGGCTTAACTAGATCATAAGAGGATGGTAAGCATGATTATCTCATCTTCAACCCCATCAAAGACCTGAGAACAGCAATAATATTATTTGAGTAGGTAGGTAGTGCAGTCTAGTAGCTTCCTAAATGTATAGTAGTTGACAGAGACAACTGACTGAGCAATCAACCAAAGTCTCATCAGTGTTGAAGAATAAGATTTCATATCAGAATATAAAAGAATCTTTAAACAACTATGCAGTAAAGAAGGACAATGACCTCAAAATGGATTAAAATCTTGATCAAAGGTAGAGTTCCATAATGCAATATGATAAATATATTATAAAATTGTGTCAATAAAAATATGTTTTAAACAGGTAGAATCATGCATTTATACAATCTGACAAAATAACCTTATATAGTTGTTACAAATATTCTAAACAAAATAGAAACATTATGTATAATAAATATAATTCAAATTTGTGTCAATATACAAAAGTCTATACCAATGTAAATCCATAAATA